GTGTGTGTGTGTGTGTGTGTGTGTGTGTGTGTGTGTGTGTATTTACTGTTGAACTTGGGTGTCTGCTTATGGCTTGTTTGGTGTCTGCATGTTTTTAAATAAGGATGCCCTTGGAACACGTACATTATTATGTCTAATTTATTGACTTGATAATGAACATGTGTAAGTATACTCAGTGTCTATTTCTGATGACATATAATAATCCTTTACTTTTTCCTGTTTGACAACAAAGACAAGAGGTAAATAATGTACAATTGGAAATTATTAATAAAAAAATGAGAGCTGGGCAAAATTACAGGTTAGAATTTTAGCTAAAAGTTTTTATTCAGTGTTAATTCATCAACCAGCTCTACTTACATTAGTCAAAAAGTGTCACATAGTCATGCCACACTTTCACATTCATGATTTATGTTGCTTTTAGAACATTCTTTTAGCACCATGCACTCAGACTAAAACTACTTTGGCATTTTGTGTTGGATAGTTAAATGGGTATTTAAATAAAAGTACACATTTTAAGACAATGTCATTTGAAGGTACCCTGAAATAGGTCAAATGTCTAAATCATAATTGCATTTCCATCTTCAGTTAATTGGTAACTAAATAACCACACAAAAGTAACCAACATGCCCTAGAGCTATTAATTTCTCTAAGGATTATATTACCTTATTTTAAATAAAGTAAAAAAAAAAACTAGATTAAACCATGGTCAGAAAATAATGCTCCTTGAACTAGAGGGTCAAAATCAGAAGAATAACAAGGCCAACAGAAATCCAAGTGCTGGCATGGGTACTGAACCACAGCGGCTACTGTGGCTTAAACGTCTAGACACCCAAGGCAATAAAAGGAAAAATGTGCTCATTAGATAACCACTCAGTGTAAGTAAACTTTCCCTGTTCCTTGTGTTTAAATAAAATTTCCCACCTAGGAGTTAAAATAGGAGCTACCGAGTGAAGAAATGGCCCAACATTCCTTCGGAAATCGTAATAGTAGCTCTGGTATACTTAAAACTTTTATGTCTACTGCTGCTATGTTGTAAGGGAAGGTGATGACTTTATGTCAAAGTGTTTGTTGTTGAATACTATTTAATAAGAGGCCATTGTTGGTAGTTGGTTTCTGAGAGCATAATTTAGTTCAGGGACGACACCTATATATTTATAGTGAATGGATGGTCTATCTATTAGACAATCACTAAATTATTCTCTCTACGAGCAGCACTTTTCTCAGCAAGGCCTTTGCTAAGAGTCAGGCTCCACAGAGTTTGTCTTTATTTTACTGTTTGTGAATGCCCAAAGGAAGTAGGAAAAATATATTACTATAACAGTGTGGCTGTTTTCACTGAGATAATTATAAACTGCAGGATTACATGCAAAACTATCTTTGTCTGTGGTGCCTTCCTTTTGAATGCAGTCTCACCTTTCTTCCCTTTTCCTTCATGTTGAGATTCTTGTTTACCAAGCTGAATTTCTAAACAAAATTCAACACACAAATATCATTTATGACTTACTTCAGTAGTCCAAGCTGTACAATATCTAAGCAATCAAATATATTAGAGAACTGCATTAAATGGCTGTTTTATTTTAATGTGAATTGAAATTAATCTGAAGAAAAACTATAGATTTACTCTTAACGCTAGAGCTGGTTACACTATTTTATCTTGTCAGGCTGAGAAGTTTCATCTTAACTTTAATATTAATCTTTAGTAAATCTTTAATGGAAGTGTGGAGTTTCAGCCATAAGTCTGTTTGAAGCACATTATTTATTTAAATTAATTTTAACAGAATGCTCCTCATTTAGTAAGATAAAAGTCCAGTGTGCAACGATGTCTTAGGAGGTGAAGGTGCTTGCCACCAAACTATGTAAGCCTAATGACCTGAGTTGATTCAGGAAACTCAGAAAATACGTAAGGAAAGAACTGACTATAAATTGTCCTTTGACTTCTACATGCATGCTTTGGCACATGCATTCCCCCTTACATCATACACACACAGACACAAATATACACACAGTAATAATAATAATAGCAAATAGAAAATTTAAAAATTAATACAACTAGAATACTGATAAAAATGAAAGACTTTGAAGAAGAGTTAAATAAAAGACTCTCTATGTGATGCGTCCTAGAGTTTCACTTGGCCATGCACTGTGCCTAATGTTTTCTATATTTATAACTGTATTGACTACAATTTACAATTTGAAAATTATCTTTGCAAAGGATGATTTGGGCGTATTTATCTTACATCTCATGGAATCTACTTAAAATATACTGAAAGGGAAAAATGAGAAATGGATGGTACAGAAGTCAATATTGTCTCTGAAATAATACATAAGAAAGCTCACTACATCCTGCATTAGTTAATAAATAAACTGATTTCCCCTCTTGATCTTGGCTATAGTACTTTCTTCAAACTTCAAGCCTGCAGGTTAAATGATTTTGAGGACAAGATCTCATGACCCATTTTTATGCATTTAGAAGTGATAATTTAAAAATGTGTAACTACATAGCACTTATAACTTATTTTGAATATTTCCTATTTGAAAATCAAGATTACATAAAAATAAGACAAATGAATGTTATAGAGGATTAGCCTTGAAACATTTTAGCGTCCCTACATGGGACTTTAAACACCTGCATGCATGATCACCAATCTCATAAAAAAAGACTTGAATGTTGGAATTAGTTGATTGTTTTAAAGAAATAAACTTAATAATCAGAAAATTTTAATAAGACATTTATTTAATAAACTATGTTGGATAACCAAATATGTAACTATTTCTATAAATTAGTACAAAATGAGAGAGAAAAGGACACCTCTGGAAACTAAATATTAAATTGTGTCATAATCAGAAAAAAATAGAGTTTGGTGGAAATGTCTATATTTTCTGGGAGCAGCATGTACTTTTACCATTTAAAAACTCTCTCCAGAATATATTCTGAAACTAAACTCTCTCTCTCTCCCTCTCCACCCCCCTCCCTCTCCTGTATGGTGTGTGTGTGTGTGTGTGTGTGTGTGTGTGTGTTTTGAGACAGAGTCTCATGTAGTCCAGGCTGATCTTAAACTTCCTATATAGCCAAGGATGACCTTGAACTATTGATCTTTCTTGCCTCTGTCTCTCAAATCCTAGGATTATAGGCATGCACCGCTATGCCCATTCTCAAAGAAATACTCTTAAAGAATAGCATGGATGGTCTTATTTCATTTTTTTCATGGATGGTGTTATTCCATTTTTTTATACTGAGACCTTTAATTTTAAACTAAGTACTGATATTTGGTGATAAGTTCCATAATAGACCTTTAAATGGACTGCAACTGAGATGTTTTTCAAATTGAACCTTCAGTATAGTTGAAGCAGATATAAAATGCAGACCTATCCTAGTTACAGAATTATACTTTGGCAAAGCCTGCTTAGGCATCATACCACCTGTATCTACCCTATTCCTATTTCTATTGTTATGTTAAGAAATAATTCCAGTTTCCATTTCAATTTTTTTTTTAAAAAATGAAATTACTTATGTAATTTTACTAAGATCTTGTTGGAATCTGCACTCATACCAGTCCTCAAACTCCTTGGCCAATTTCTGTCTCTGAATCTCCAGAGTTCTCTTCACTCCCCTCCCCTCTCAGCAATGCTTTGTGGATGTATGCAATTAGGACCATGGAGATGAACCTTTTTCCATAATTTTTAAATATCAGGGACTAGCCCTGCCTTTGGTACAAAGAAAGAGACAGGTACAACCACTAGGTGAAGCCAAAACAGGTTTATTATTCCTCCAATGCAGTGTTCAGGATACAGCTTTAAAAGTAGAAAATAAAGCCTCCAGAAACTTAAATATTAAACATGGCACAATCACAAAAACTAGAGATTAGTTTAGGGAAGGGTTCAGGTACACTGGTAGATTGTTGGTAAGCTAGGGGGAGGAAGGGGCGGCCAGTGCTCAAAAGACCATAGTGGACAATTCTACTCCAGCTCGAGAAACTGAGATAAATGCCTTCCTTGATTCCAAACTGCATTTTAAAAATTTTTCCTTTTTTTTCTAGACCCCTGAATTACATTTTCTAATTCTAATCAAGTAGTAGGATATATCTATATATAATATATATCGATATTACATATATATATATATTTAATCCATGGCTTTGCATTTTATTATCTTATGGCATTAGCAAATTTTAATGTTTATCCCCTTTCTTGCCTAGTTAAGCCCAACTTTGTAGGAGTAAAATGGTCTTCAGTATATACTATTATACATGTTACTTAAAAAATGACTTCACTCATGTGAAAGAAAGATCCTTGCTTTGTTTCACATTTCTTTGCTTCTTATGATAAAATTTAATTTTGTGGCAAAATTCAGACTAGTGGCAAAGTGCCATGCAGTGTAAAGACCATAGTTGCAAATAATCTTGATAAATCAAGAATACCGAAATAGATTTGTGCAACTGACTAGTCACCCACTTATGAAACTGGAATCAGAAACAAGGACCAGATTTGTTTCATACACATGCCAAACTGATATTTGAATTGTACAAATATCACCCAGGAGAGTACTTGGACACTTTCACTTTTGTAGTGTTCATTTTCTGTCACTTATTAGTAGACTCATGATCCTCAGTGGCTAAAAACCTGGAAATTAAACTGAAAAATATTCTATACAAAGCTATTTTTTATTCCAGAAGCACCTATGTTTACTGAGATGTCAGGTGTTCATTTCTATTCATTTAAAATTCTACTTATTTATTTATTCATTCGGGCATGAGTGTGTGTGTGTGTGTGTGTATGTGTGTGTATGTGTGTGTGTGTGTATGTGTATGCAAGTCATGGTGCCCATGAAAAAATCAGAGAACAATTTTTTGGGCTGGGTTCTTTCCTTCTACCTTCTATCACATGGAGCCTAGGGAATCCAACTCAGGATGTCAGGCTTGATGACAAGTGCCTTTCCCCACTGAGCATCCTCACTGATACCTGTTCATCATTTCTATAGTCACACAACTCTTCAGATTTCTGGCTGTGTACAAATCCATGTGTCTAGTTAATGTTCATTGGTTCACTTATTCTTATCAATAACTGTTCTGATTCACATTGTGTCAAAATGTTCTCACCCTTTACATAAATGGAACTCCAGAATTCAGCAGACAGCTGATCTCTCAGTCTCGAAATTCTTCATTCTACAACCTTCTTCTTCCTATCTGAGGTCCTGTTCTAGGCCTCTGGCCTGAGTGGGAAGACTCCACATGCCCTAAGGAAAGGTAACACACTGAGCTTTTAAACAAATGTGTTTTTAGCTAATAGGAAGGGTTTTCCTCCAATGAAGAAGTACCTTGGTAGTAGAGAATATTCTCAGCCTGTGAGAGGTTCTGGTTGAATTCCCAGCATCAAAAAAACTTTTTATATGAGTTTTCCACTTCTGAACTTAGATCTTTGTTCACATGCTTGAAGTCTCCAAAATCTGAATTTAGATAAATGCACTGGCACTATAATCTATCTTCTTTTCTATGTGAAAATAAGAATCTGAAAAACAGGACTATAAATCACTCTGTCAGTCACCTGATTGTGGCTTTCCTTTCCCTGAAGAAATTGTTGAAGGCTCTCGATGAGGGTGCACTTCCTTCTCTTTTTGTGGTTCAGAAGGAGCGGGAGAAGTGGTGGTGGGCGGCTCTGCCGAGGCAGCTGCTACTTTTTTCTCATTTTCTTCTAATTTCTTTTCAACTTTAGAAGGATTATTTAAAAAAAAATGAACCTACATTAGAGATTCCAGGTACTTTCTATTGCATTGAAGTAATAAATATCAAAATAAAATTATACTTACCAATAAAACTATTACTACATTTTCTTTAAGATTATACTTCCTATATTTTATATCTGTGTTTGGGGTTCTTATTCCTTTACTGCTTAGTGATGGTGATGGTGGTAGTAGTAAGGCCAGGGAACACAGATAATGGAGTGTGTGTGTGTGTGTGTGTGTGTGTGTGTGTGTTTAGACTGTAAAAAGGACTGAAGATTAGGTACCAAATGGAAAAGTAATAAATAAGAATGGAAAAAAAGAATAAAATAAAACTTTCTAGCAGAGCATCAAAGTAAGAAATGCATAACAAAAGGCTACAATCGTGGTAGTAGTAAGGCCAGGGAACACAGATAATGGAGTGTGTGTGTGTGTGTGTGTGTGTGTGTGTGTGTTTAGACTGTAAAAAGGACTGAAGATTAGGTACCAAATGGAAAAGTAATAAATAAGAATGGAAAAAAAGAATAAAATAAAACTTTCTAGCAGAGCATCAAAGTAAGAAATGCATAACAAAAGGCTACAAAATCACTTTTCGTGGTGAATGCCTGTAATCCCAGCACTCAGGAGGCTGAGTGAGTAGGATTATGGCAAGATCAAAGCCAGCCCAGGAAATCCCACATCACCCCAGGAGCTCAAGAAATGAAAATAAAAATCAAAATTTAGAAATACATAGAAGGTTGAAACAATGTGACAGATGATGTGAAGGTAGGGAGTAAATGGGAAGGGAGAACTGCAACACTGCTTGAAACAAATACAAAGCACTTAGAATAGTGTATCGTACCTACTCCTCAATGAAATCTTAAAATGCACTCATTCACGAAATAATAATAATTATTTTATTACTGTTAAATAAAGGGCTCTAAGCTGTTGCCCAGGCTGGTCTCAAACTCCTGAGCTCCTGAAATCCTCCTATCTCAGCCTCCCAAGGAGCTGGGTCCAAGGGAATGTACATTACCAGCTGGGATACCACTATTAACTGAACCTGAATTGTGCCTTGAAGAACTGGGCTACAGCAATAAAGTAAAACTACAATACCTGTTGCTATTAAAAACAACAGCAGGCACAATTTTGGCTGCTGGAAAATTTAATACCAAAATGGAAAATTCAATACCCTGGGAAGCATGTATGTGGGTCCTAAGAAACAAATCACAAACACAATAAATTTCTTAATTCATACAAAAGGTTAGAAAGTGATATCTGCTAAGGAGTGAAACAGAGTGGAGCAGTAGTATGGGAGTGTTGTGTTATGGGAGGACGCTACAGGGAATTACTTTAAATTTCACTTAAAGCCAGGTAGGCCCATTTCTGAATGACATTTGAGCCAAGGCATGAAGTCATGGAAAAAGCCTAGTGGACATGGGATGGAGAGTGTTATGGGGCTCATCCCTGGAAGCCCCAAGGGTTAGGGTGTGGCTGGTCAGTTCTGCCTAGACCTTAGGCCTGTAAATGATAAGAGTTGAATACTTCCTAGCATACCCTGCCCCCAAGCTATAGATGCCCAAGTGTGGTTGACTGGACCACTGATGAGGAACCTGCATTTCTGTAGAATTATTTCTCCTCACATGGGTTCTCTCAGCCCTGATTATTCCTTTCAATTAAGTGAGAAAGGAAGCTTCATTGTATTAGATTTTATTTTAAAGTGGAAATTTAGTGCTTTTTCTCTGATTACAGAGGAACATATAATTACTATTTTTAAAATTCAAGGGTTCAGACAAATATATAAATTACCTATGATAATCTGACTCCCACCACCAAGTATTGTATAGACTACCACATTTTTCTCTGTGTACATATATTTAGTAAATATACATAACTTCTTAAACAAAAATGGGAACCATCATATATATATATATATCCTGATCCTTCTTACTTTTCAATATGGTATGGACATTTTTATGTCAAAGCATACAAAGAAGTACTATACTCTTTTATTAATTAGGATACTTAATATATGGTACAGGGCTAGGTAAGTATTTTCTATCATAATGATAATGTATTTGTTTAAAAGTGATTAATAACCAACTAATTGGAATATAAACACTACATAGTGATAACTGAGCCTACCAATACAATCACTAATCAGAATGTAAATCTCTAGGGAAACGGTAAGAGCCATTCACAGTTGGCACAAACAAACCCATTACAGCCTGGAGTTTCAGGTCTTTAGATTGGGATCACTCTGGCTTTGCCTCCCAACCTACACTGTAAGACTGTGGTAGAACGTGTATCTCTCAGAGTCTTTTCAGTCACTGGTTAAGGATTAGTTTTTGTTTTATCTGAAAACCTCACACTGTCTGGTCTTGCTATCTTTCATCAGGCGTTTAGACTCAAGGACATGTTTTCCTAAGTGTCAGCCCCTCAGCCTCTATGGTGACTGGGGCTTATGTTGACTGAAGATTTTGTCAGTTCACTGATACCTAGTGGTGATTGGGTTAGTAGTCTAATGGCAGCAGGCAGTGTGTAACCAGCAAGTTAGAATTCTCTGATTGCATTGGCTGCAGTATTATTTTTATTAAATGGAATTACCTTTGTAAATATGATTAGAGATAATTGATAAAATGGAAAATTTCTTTTTCACATCATTTTTCAAAAGTAAAGTACTAATAGAAGCTGACATTGAACTAAGCTTAAGATTCCTTTCAATAGTAAATTTTAAGAATACTATGAAAAATGTATTGACAATGGTTATTGTTTCAATAAAAGAGAAAGGATGTCTAGGTGGTTTGAATTGTTTATTAGTGGGCTAATAAACAATTCAAAACTCAAAAAAAACATAACAAAATAGGCAATTTGGAGAAAACGATTTACTTAGTATTTCCATCTTGATAGGAAAATTCACATACTGTTTTTTATAATGTTGAGTTTAAAATTTTAACTGTACTCCTTTGTAATCTCGTTTGAAACTTTTTTGTCGAAAGATATTTACCATATTCAAGATCTATGATACAATTAACATCTTAATATTAACTCTGCTACTTCTTGCCTTTAACGAGAAAATGATGCTTTCAGTGAGACGTGTTCAGAAGAAAGCTGAGACAAATTCACTTGTGGAGAGCACAATTCCAACATGAGAAGCAATTTTGTGATCATAGATTCTTTTCCGGGCATTTTAGTCATATAAGTGTACCATGGTAAAGAAGTATTATTACCTTTATTCTTTTTATTCTCTATTTCTGTGGCAAAAAAATCCTTTATTTTTTGGCATAAAGGCTCTTCGTCTACTTCAGCATTAATTTTTGTCAAAATATCATGTGGTTCTGTGAACCACTGCTCCAACATTGGCCAGTTGTCTAAGAAACCCACAATTCTGCAAAATAAAAGTATATGACTATCTTATACTGATTTAAATATTTGAATGATGAAACATTAATTATCAAATTTAGTATGATTTGGCAATGAATCATGAAGAATTAGGCTGCCAATAGATTTGAACCCCCCAAACAACTTTAAGAAACCTACAGATGATGAAACATTATTCAATTTAAAGAAGAACTTGTTTGATGACATCAAGACATAATTTTTAGAGGTGTGAGTGAAAAAATTGAAAGTACTACCCATTCATGAATACTCTGCTATAAGCTCAGACCTCCATTTGAAAATTAAAGGAAATGTCATCCATGCTAATGGCAGAGGTGTTCTGAGATTTCCTCAAATAGTACCCATAGGCCTATCCACCCAGGCTATATATTTTTTCTTGGAGATAGAAATTAAAGATATCTTTGAGTAAAGACAGATGGCTCAGACTTATTTGCTTTACTCAAAAGTGTTCTTGGAATGATTCTTGAATCATTGTTTTATCTTCTTGGAGAGTATATAGCCTTCATGGAAGCTCAAATATCTCTTCCCTGGCTCACTTCATATTTTTAGACTTCTCAAGATTTCATGTTGCCAAATTTTTCCTAAATTTTCTTTTCTGAAGGAAAATAGCACACAACTCAAAGAAACCATGTAACCTCATTTTAGTAAAACAGAAGTGATTCTACAAATTTCCACAGCCTGGTGCCAGCTCTTTGAAGTGCCATTGTCTTTACTGGCATTTCCTTGATGATTGTTAAATTCCATATCATTAACTTATAAGTGATGTCCAACTGGCTTCTTATCCAAGATGATACTGACTTGAACTCTAAATAGGAAAGCTGTCACACAAATATTTCACACAATGCAAAAAATGTTTAGTTTCATTTTACCTATAAAAGACATGACGGTAAGGAATATGCATTTTTTTCTAGATTTGATTATTCCAAAGTCACAAATTGTCACTCTTTTTGAAGAGCAAGGACACAAACAAGCAAGGCACAAAGTTAAAGACTGACCTATGCTGTATCTGGTCTCTTAAGTTCTGGGCCCCATCCTTGTCTTGGTTTTCAGTAGCCCCATGGTGACTGACATCTTCATGAGCAATTTCATGTTTAATTTCTTCAGCTAAGGTATGAAAATTATTTAATTAGATAATTTACCAAATGAATCAAAGTTGCCAGTTACCACCAAAACATACTGGTGGAAGATAACAAGTAATTGTGACTGTAGTTTTGACTTAATATTACCCTAATATATTTTGAAAGGGGTTTAAAGACAGGCATAATATAACCACTGGTACAATAATAGCATCACTGTTACAGAATAATCCAATTGCTTTCTAATTGGATTTGAGTCCTGTCCCACAGAAGGGAATTAATATTTGGGACTGTATATCTTGTCAAAACAACTTGGCTGAGGTGGTTAAAGGTTTTAGGGCAGAGCCTAATTTACATATATATATGTGTGTCTTTATGTGTGTTGTATATGTGTTTCAAAACTGGTCGTGTAGTCAATCTGCTTTCTAAATATGTATGTTTATAAGCATATATATGGAATGCTTTCAACCTTGGTCACAGAAGCTTCTTTCTGCAGTGAGTAGTCAATGCAGAGACTCATAACTTGCAAAATTTCTGAGAATAATTGACTGTGAGTGCTCGACCTTAAATAAGACGTATTTTTCAACTCCACTTCCCTGCAAGACTCAGAGAACACCACAGAAGAAGTATTGGAAAGAATGTAAGAGTTGGAGAATGGGGAGGAGTGTTGTGAAATAATGGCTTCTGGACATGCCCTGGCTATTGCGCTCATCAACTCAGAGCAGTGTGATTACCAGAACAAGGCCAAGCCAACCAAAATTCCATCATGTATGGTAAGAAATATTGGCTAGAGACTTCTGAGACATCTTAAGCTAGGGTCAGAAGATGGAGGGAGAGAAAAAAAGAAAAAATGTTTCAACTAAACTAAAAACTCCAAGCAAAATGAAGGCTATAAAGGCCAAGTTGGTCCATACTCCTTTCCTGTGTGTTGTTTGACCATTGAAGTGACAGCACACTCTGCTTTTAGAACCAAACTACCAAGAAGCAGACAATTTCATGGGCTCTCCTCCTATCATAGGACTTTGCAAATGTTTCACCGTCTTGCCCCTCTTTGCTATCAGCAATGCGGGTTCAATACAAACAGTTTATGATTTCTTTTCTCCAAATTTCTTTATTAAAATACTCTGCCTTCCTAGATTCAGTGATGTTTTTTTCCATTTCTATCATACGAAGGTGCTGGTATCTCAGATATTTTGTCCCAGGATTGATTGCATTTTAGTTCCAGAATGGTTTCTGTAACAGTTTAGTGGATCTTGTATTCCAGAGGCTTCTTTGTCTCAAATGTTAGAGTTAATACCATGAACATCATGGCTATAAACTCGGAAAGAAAGAAAAGCAGCACTGGGAAGCAAAAATCAAGAGTGAATAAAAATTCCGCCATAGAGTCAACTATACAGAGAGTTACTGATCTTATATAATAATATTGGGAAATATTTTATGCCTCTTTCTAAGATTAACATTGACCATAAGAAAGCAAAAATGAAAACTATTTTAAAAATTCCAATTGAGTCTCATTCAAAATACAAAATCCTCATAAACTTAGATAAATGAAAAATGATAAAGATCAAAGAAAGCCTTGAACTAGATTAAAATGAATTAGAATGACTAAAGAAAAGCAGTTCTGAAGTATGATTTAATAGCATTCAATTAACGAAGAACAGAAGAAGCGCAGTAATTGGTTGTTCACCATAGAGATTAATGATAAAACTAGGGAAAATGGATTTAGAATTCAAAATAATTATTTTTGGATATTTATAAAACATACTACATCCAAAGCCAGGAAAGCCTTGAACTAAATTAAAAGGAATTAGAATTGCTCAGTGCAAAGGAGCATTGAAGAGCAAATTAACAGCGTTCAAGCACACAGAGAGCCGCACAGAGTGTAGCAATTCATCTCCAGAGCAGATGACTGATGGGTACAAGTGTATTGCCTGCATGTGTGTAAGTGCACTTGTATTGTGCAATGCCCGTAGAGGTCAGAAGATGCCGTTGGAGCCCCTGGAACTGGAGTTATGGACAGTGGTTAGCCACCATGTGGGAGCTGGGAATTGAACCCAGGTCCTCTGCAAGAGCAGTCAGAGCTCTTAACCTCTGAACATCTCTCCAGCCCCCTGCTTTTATTTTCTGGCAAAGCAAAACTGCATGACTGAACACTTCTCACTGGATCAAACATTTCTCATTCCAGCCATCAAAAACTATAAAACCTAAAGACACATTTCCCTCTTTATCACATTTGATTTTTCTATAACATGTACAGGTAGTATCAATACACAATACTTAATATGCTTTTATCTTTACTAAGATATTTTAAAAAATATTTTATTATTTTTATATTTTATGTGTACAAATGTGTTGCCTGCATGTATGTGAGTACACCCATATTGTACAATGCCATGGAGGTCAGAAGAGGGCCTTGGACTCTTCTGGAACTGGAGTTAAGGACGGTTTGTACCCGCCATGTGGGTGCTGGGAATCAAACCGGGTCCTCTGCAAGAGCAGTCAGTGCTCTTAACCGTTGAGCCAACTCTCCAGCCCCGCTTACTAAGATATTTTTATATTCACAATATAAGATGTGGAGTAGGATTAAAATTCTCTAATTGGCTCAAATTGAACAGTTTATTAATGGCAGAAAAGGAGTTTGATTCTCCCAATACTACTCCAGAATTCAAAATTCTTAGTTCTATATCCTTTATTCAACTACATCTAATGAAAAAGAAAAGTATACACAAACATACAGTTTAATGAAATAATAAACTAAAAACACCCAGGATTCATATTAAGACCATTGTCAGCACTGGAAGCCCCTTCTGTTCCTTTCTAACATTAGCCACAAAGGGTGACTATCATGGCCTGAGCTGGAAACTTTCAGTGCCATTTCCCATCTTATGCACTCTGCAGATCCTTCGTAGTGTAAGCCATACCCTGGCTGCACAGTTAGGACAGTCAGCTAGCCTTCTACTCTGATGCCAGTCTCTGGTGATGGTCATTTCTTCTCCCTAAGTCTCCCTGATCTGCCTAACAGCTTTGAGCTCTGGCTGGATTATGCTCAACCTTTGCCACCTACATGGCTTTGGATATAGCATGATTCTCTGTCATGTTGTTTATTTGGCTTCTCTGTGTATTTCAAGTGTAATAAGACAGCAGGTTGAACCCAATTCTAGGGACTGGGTTCCCACATTCTGACCCAGGCCCTTACTACTCTGGGAGGAGGTTGGACATCTTTGTCTTGAATATCTGTCCTTCTTTGTTTGTGGAACACTACCCTTCATGGTTTTTTCCACTGTATAAGCTGCTGCTTCTGAACACTAACTTTGCTTCACCTTTCACCATATTTTACTGTATGATATTCAGGGGGGGGTCACCATGGATTGAATATCTGTCCTTCTTTGTTTGTGGAACACTACCCTTCATGGTTTTTTCCATTGTATAAGCTGCTACTTCTGAACACTAACTTTGCCTCACCTTTCACCATATTTTACTGTATGATATTCAGGGGGGGTCACCATGGATTT